GTTATATTAAGAACATACAACTACACCTTTAATATTAAAGATAGATCCACTATTGGATTTGAAGTCTTTAATATCCCACATCCAGATTGCATCACTGTTACACCTCCAATTTAGTTAGATACCTCGATCTATGCAATATTTGACTTAGGGTGTATCTCAACTACCCAATTTATTTCTTTTCAGTAATCCTATCCTAGATTGAAAATGTGCAATTAATCACAGTTATTAAGATGCCTTGCAATCTTAACCAGTGATATACTTTAACTAGTATTTATATTTGAGATTTACATCTACAAAAGTTAGCTAGGCTTTTATTGTCATCTTTCATATCAAATATATAATTAGTATATCATTAATAATTTTTTTAAGGCATATAATGACTTATGCATCATATTTATGTCATTGTCTCAGTACCAGCTTTAATCCACTCAAGGACTTATAAGCTTGCACATTTGACTCTTCAACTAAAACAAATAACTCAGTTCTTCAACTGGAAAAAGAACTCTTCTAGTTGTTCCATAATATTTTCCCCATAGGAAACAACATGCACTATTGTTATAATACTATAAATGATTTTTTGTTCTATCCAAAATCTCTTAGGATTAAGAACCCCCACATTTATAAGTATTTCTTATTTGATGAGGTAACTCGTAGCAAATTTCATTTATGGACAATATCCCCCCACAACTTGGGATAATCCTGAAATTTTATATATGATATATTTCTTATTATTTTCCAACACATGAAATACCATATATTAAATATTTAACCTCATCTATCTTGCCAAGGTTCTATATTCGCTTCTCAACAAGGATGTATAATAGTCTTTAGTGCATATATATTCACTTTATCTCTAACTTGTTCTTATAATATGTCACAGACGTTACTGTGAATTAAAGCTAGAGATATTAATTACAATGGGCTCTAATTAATATTTGCTTTTACATCTTTTGTATTTATGAATTGAGTTATTCATATTTAGGTTCCTATTAAGTCAGTCATATTAACATGTCATAACCTTTCATGCATCACACATCACATAACTCAATCATTTAAGCAAATAATTATCTTATTATTTAAGCTTTGGATACAATCACTACACAGTGAATACTCACTTCTTATCCATTATTACTAGTTAAAAGTGAGTTCTTAGCTATCATTACTAACTTAGATTAAGTACTCTCTTCTCATATTTCACTACTAGGTTATGATAACCACCCACTTCTCAGCTATTACCGCTAAATTGAAGTTAAGTTTGTTTAGCTGTTAATTCTAATAGTTAATAACTTTAGTACACATTTATCTAAGTAGTCTACCTTGGTAGTACAGTAATTTGTTTTGAAGAATATTCTTCAAAAACTACTACTTTACAAGTAGTATTATAGGCTACATGAACAAATATAATGTATAACTCAAATAACTTATGGCTAAAATGGCTACTCATCACCCTCATATTTTTTACTATCAAGTTAAGAGCTAAAACCAATTAACAAATTTTCATCTTCCTCTTAGGTTCTATGCACCTCATTAATCATTTTAGCTTATAGCTAAGCTAACTAGTTTGCAACTTAGTAATATTTTAGCTTTTAGCTAAATTGTACATTAGAGCTAACTAGCTTGATTTAGCTTGTCTCGGTGTACTTGCTTAGTGTATCCATAACATTTTCCATTAAATTCTTTAGAGTTATTAGAAAATCTTCTCTTATTCAGCCCATTCACAACTATACGTGTCTTAAACACTAGTATAGATCTTTTTCCCTTGACTATCGAAAGAATTGACACAGTTGGACCAGTCAATTTTTGTTTGTTGTATTACATATACAAACCAGTCATGAATTCATACAAATTCAATAATATCACGTATTAAATAAATTATGTTGTAAAATTGAATTACAATGCACACAAAGTAACTCAACTACATAGTTCAATATTATAGTATCAAATAAAAATAAACATTTATAAAAATAATATTGAACTTATATAACAATATAGTTTAATATTATATCACATGATAAATTATATCACATAATTAATTTAAAAAATAATTTAATAATAATATTCAGAAGAAGACTTTGTTTCCTTAAAGATTTGTGTTTCATTCTCCAATAAACACGCTAGAAAATTAGGACCAAAAGATTTAGACGTTCTAACCCTCTTGCTATATCTAAGCTCATCCTTATTATCATTGTATGATTTATGCACAAGAAAACGATATGCACTACTGTTATAAGCATAACCTATCAAAGGTTTTATGTAGCGATTCACTCCATCACATGGTATGATATTGTCCGCTTTGGGGCCGAGTCTGCATGGTTTTGTTCTTGAGTTTTATCCCAGAAGGCCTCATACCAATTTGGAGATAACACTACCACATAAAGCACTTCCCATTTCCCTTACCTAAGTGATGTGGGACTGTGCACTTATAGCTCGCCTAGTGTAGTAGCCTGTCAGTGCCTCTTGCACTCGTCTACGACACACCCACCTACAAGGTCGTCACATTTTAGGTACCACTTTAACTTTCTTAGGAGTAGGAACTGCAACCTTAGCTAGACACCCCCACATATTTAAGAATTTATAGGAAGGTTTTCGACCTTTTCATAATTCACATGGTGTCACATTAGTTTTTTTTTAAGGTATTTTATTGAGAACATAATTTGCAAAAAGCAAAACTTCCCCCCACAAATTCTAAGTTAAACCAGAACTTATCAACATAGCATTCATCATTTTTTTTAAAGTACAATTTTTGCGTTCAGCAACACCGTTCTGTTGAGGTGAATAAGGAGCGGTAGTTTAGTAAATAATACCATATTCTGAACAAATATAAGAGTATGGTGTTTTGTATTCACCACCTCTATCATTTAGTAACACATTAATCGTTTTGCTAAGTTGATTCTCAACCTCATTTTTGTAATATTTAAACATTTATAAGGTTTCATCTTTGTTTTGTGGCAAATATATATAACAGTATCTTGTGCAATTATTGATAAAAGTAACGAAGTACTTTTTTCCATCTCTAATTGGCATAAATTTAAGATAATATAATATACTACCTAATATCATATTATAAAAATAACTCAACTAATATTGAATTATATCAATAATCTATTTATATAACAGGTTAAGTATATATATTTATATATAACATACACCCATGGGCCTTAGCCTATCTAGCCCATCAATAACTTCTCCTCCGTACTCCAAGACCAACCTTTGGCCCAAAAATATAAAGTCCAGTCCATGACAATTTAAATTGAATAAACTTAATAATTAACAATTAAACAAGTCAATAAAATAAACACATAACATACAATAGCAAATAACAAGCAAATAGATTAAATTAACAATTAAATAAACAAATAAATTATTAAATTATTACAATTAAATAAACATAATCAATCAAATAAAGCAATTAAATTAAATTAAGTCTTTAAAATATAGGGGTTTTACAAATTTTGCGATTGGGTTTGGCTACTATGATTTGTTGCAGAAATTTTCGACGACAATATTGCTCTGTCCATGATGAGTAATTGAGGGACAGTCATCTATCCTTAAGGACCTTACAATAAAGGGATATAGACTTCCCAATAAGAGGAAACGCAGCGCCAACCTGATCTGAAGCTTATTATTTTCAACTCTTGAACAGTTTGTGGCGCAAACACTTCAAGCTTGTTATGATGCGTATTTGGAAAGCAAGAATGCGGTGAATCAGACGACTGTCAAGGCGCCTTTAGTGACAGAGAGGAGAGGGATTTAAGAGTTGTGTGGGCAAGCTTGATGATCGAGTCCATTGGTGCTTCGGTGTCTTCGTCTTCGCTCGTTGGCAGCTTCATTTTGGTCACGCGGGTCTATCGTTCAATATATATATATCATAATATAGTTTAGTCATTTACAATAGCGACTTGATGGTATTTTAGTAAATTAGATTAAATTGTTATGACATTTGATGGTCCGGCACTAGTAGGGAAGGTCGGTATAAGTTAGTTACATTTTTTTAGAGAGATTTGTATAATTTTTAAAATCATAGACAAGGTCCCTATAATTATAACAAATCATAAAAAAAAATCGTGTAACTAATCCATTAATATTTAATAGTAATTGTTTATCTTATATATATAGTTATTAACATTTTTTATTATATTATATTATGTTTAACAAACAAAATAAAAGCTCACAATTACATTGCATGAATAAAATTTTAACTATATTATTATTATTATTATTATTATATCAATACTTCTTTTATTTAATAAATATTAAACTTTTTCTTAACAACTATATTATAATATTATTGTTAAAAAAGTCACATTGTAATGTCTAAAACTAGTTAAATGTGTGTTTTAAAGTATCTGATACACATAATAATAATAATTTGAGCAGGGGCAATTTTGTTTTCTTGAATTATATACATATAAATTTTTAAATGTGTGTTTTAAAGTATCTATACACACGACCTAGTGAAGGTATATATAATTCAAGAAAACAAAATTGGTAGGTATATAATAACAAAATAATAATAATTTGAGCAGGGGCAATTTTGTTTTCTTGAATTATATACATATAAATTTCTTAAATTAAAAAAGAAAAAAAAAAATCCCACTATTGTCCCCACTCCATGATTTGAATCTTTTTATCTTTTCGTTGTTAAAAGTCCGTCCCTTCTCATATGATTTTCTGGGTGCATCCGTGCCTATATATATAAGAAATTATATTATATTTTATTTTATAATTATGAATATATTTAAAAGTATCGGACTGCAGAACTGAGAACATTACCCTCGTAGAATTATATGTGCTTCTTGGCTCTATGTGCAATAGGTGTGAATCCTACCAATGTGGGCCCATCCTTTTTTAATATTCATAAATTTTGTTTTCTTCTCCCACAACACAATGGGGATGTAGCTCAAATGGTAGAGCGCTCGCTTTGCATGCGAGAGGCACGGGGTTCGATCCCCCGCATCTCCATTATTTTTATATTTTTTTAGCATTTTATCATCAGTTGTGTTTTTTTTTTTTGCTATCCACCACTGTCCACTCACACTGAGCCATACACTACATAATACCCAACCCACCATGTCACCGGAGAGCCTCCGCCTGATCTCCTCCTCTTCTTCCACTATGACCGCCGTGTTCCCTCCCAAACCACCCATTTCGCCACCACTCCGGTCGAAACAACAGTTCCATCAAATTTCTCGCAGAGATGCTGCTGTACTCTCAATCATCACTGTCGTCGTGCCTCTTCTCCACCAGCCTTCCCCTGCAGCTGCTGCATTCTCCATCGGCATCTGTGAGCTGTCGTCTCTGCAATCTGTGTGTGTCTGTGTGTTTTAATTTTTGTATACTCTTTTTGATTTCGTTTTGTTTGTATGGATTCGATTGTTGGGTTTTACGCTCTCAGCAGGACCTAAAGATTGGCTCAAAGAGCAGAAGAAGAAGGCCTACAAGGTCCTCTTGGCCCCCATTGACGCCTCTCGCAACACCCTCCGTACTGTATATCTCTTACTAAGTAAGCACATACACACTCTCTGTGCATATATATATATATATATATATATATAAATGTTGTTTAAATTGTTTAATTTGTGTTGGCAATTGACAGCGAATAGCGACTCTGATTTTGTGGATAAGGAAATGGAACAAGTTCAGACGCTGCTCAAGTCTGCTGCTAGGGATTGCGTTCCTGAAGACAGGAATTCGTTTGTTGCTTTCCAAGCTAGCACTGGAGTCGAGGTTTTCCATTCTTTCTTAATTTTTGGGTCAATTTCTTGGTCAGGGTTTAGATCATACTATCTCAATCCATGCACATCGTTAATATCTTTGAGCTTGTTCTATACAAATTGGGTTTTTGGATAACGTTATCCTTATGCATCCAATAAAATCTCCTTGGAACAGGTAGGAATTTTAGGGTTTTGTGATTGTTGAAGTTATTTTTATGTGGTTGTGAGGGAGAGAAAGAGAGAGAGTTTACAATTTGTGCTTTCTTGGAAAACAATTACATGAAAAGGGGAAAAAAATAGAAGAACTTAATTGTTTGATGAAATAACAGCATGTAGGTCCACATGAATAGGGCATTTGGTCAATTTTCAATTTTATTTTTTGGGGAGTAAATAAGTCACACACTCATTATTGTTCCATTGGTGACTAACCTTTAACTAGAGGAAGAGGAGGAGATACTACTGGAATTGAGTCCTTGTTCATCGGCCTACTTTGTGGGCTTTAGTAACATAATTCGTAAAATAATTCTAAATTGTTCAGCATATTTGAAGTGCTGAGAAGGTTAAATAAAGTAGACTGTAAGAAATATGGATGATTAGCACGCCTAACTACATATATGAATTATTGGTACACTAATTTAAAAAAAAATGAAATGAGAAATTGTAGTATAAAAATAATGCATGTGTAGTGGCAAAAAGAATATTAATCTGTGTAATTCACAGGTGTGCACATTCCGGCTGGTTGTCAAGAATGCGTCTTCGTTGCTTGATGATAAAGATCCTATAAAGTTGGAAGCTGAAGCTAATCTTACTGATCTCATAAGGTATCCTAGTAATACTTTCATATGATACCTTTTTCCATATCACTCTGATCTTTAAGCATGTCAAGATGCTTACAGGTACCCAGAGGGCTTTGAAATTGTCTTCAATGCTTTACAGTATGCAAATGCTGAATTGATTGCGTGCAAAAATGGTATCTAAGATGTTTGTTATATGGCTATGTTATATGATATATATTACCTTGTACTCATCAATGGGATTAATGCTCTGTTGAGACACATAACTCTATGCAAACTTTGTTAAATTTTTGTTTAATTTTCTTGGAATTTAGCCGGCAAGTGCGGTTAAAGGGTTATTACCCTGTGTGGGTCTCCATTAATTGAGGGTGCTGGGATGGAAGACTAAATACAGACCTAAGGCATTATTTGCACAAAGTGGCATGTGCAATTGATTGATACAATTTGATAGACTAGTCATGGTTAAGTTAAGACGCAAAACGTGAATGCATCTTGGAGTTGATCCTTAATTGTTGCAGATGCACTAGAGAGCAGTTCTGATGGCGTGGGCTGCTAATATAAGTTTCATGGAAAGTATTCAGTTTGTTAAATGATATTAAATTGTGTAACAATTGATGCCTCAAAGTAGTTTATACAATTTCCAGTTTCTCCCTATCTTTGTGTATATATATGTGATAGTCTAATCCTATATTTTGGTTATTTTTGTATAATGCAGTTTTTTTCTTTCCTCGTGATTGCAGATCTTTTAGCTCTCTCAATGGCATGGCAAATGAAGTTGATATTCAACTCCCTTCTAATAGGTATATGTTTCCAAATCCTGAAATATATGCTTATTAAAGTAATTCTCAGATTTCTTGAAAGCATTTGACATTTGTTCATTTTCTAGTAGGATTTTTCTTCATTGCCACTTTACACTCTATCTACCATACCAAATGATGGCTGTCATAAAAGATGCCTATTTGTTAAGTTGGTGAACTTGGTGCTCCTTGCGTCAAATCTAGGTTGAATTTTGTCTTTCCCTATTAATCCGTCATTGCAATCACCTTTATAATAACACGAGTACAATGAAATAGGGTGATTCTTGTGAAAATTTGATATCTTGGTAATTTAGGAACTGCCTTTTGAAGGGGACAAATATTAATTTGTCTAATAGAATAGCTTCTGCAGGAGGTTTTTCAGTTTTGGAGACCTAGTCACTACCATATCGATACTTTCTGCTACTAATGCCATAATATGGTCTTTCTGTGTATATCGCAAATTGACTTGGATGTGCACCCTTAACTTTTTCAAGGCACATTCTTCTTAGATGCGTTGTCTCTGCTGCAATTTCAATTATGTTTGAATGGCTGAGTCATAGTTGACACTAGTTACTTTTTGCTGTTAGACCATTTAAATCTGTTGAGGTTTATAGTCATTGGACAATATTCTTAATGCTAACAAAAATTAGCATCTGTTTGTCAAAATATTTATGTGCTACTCTTTCCTAATTCTTCTTTTATTTATTTATTTATTAGTTTTTTTTTTTTTACTCGTCTCCTCTGCTGCAGAAAGAGGGTGGCAGATGCACTCATGAATACAATATCTTCCCTTGACAAACTTGAGCAGGGTGTTAAGGATTGCCTTGAAATTTAATCATTTTTGTTTCCTTCATAATTCAAGATTCCGCAGAGGTTTTCAAAGATACTTCTATCCTTGAAGTCAAAGACAGGAGCATCGGAAGTAAGTCTCATTTCTCCGATATCTTTTGGTCAAATTATATGCTTCTATGGCTCTCTCTCTTGCTCATTTCTTTTAAGAAAATACTTGCCTCCAACCCTGTAAGAAGACATACTTTCTTTACAGTTGAAGTGTCATAATATAGTTGGACCACATTGAAATGGGTTAACTGATTTTTTTTTTTTTGGTTTTATTTTTTTAAATTATAAAGGACATGTGCTATGTCACTATAATGGCACATCAGTTGTAATGAAAGGCTATCTCCCTGTATATATGGAGGCGAGTATAGTTCTTTCTTTTATTGACTTTCTTTCACATCTTCTTCTTCTTCTTCTTCTTCGGTTTTTTTTTTTAAGTTGCATGATTTATTATATTTTCTAAAAGAAGTCAATGTTGCTTATTATTTGTCATTCTTGTTTGGTCTTGTATGCTGTATGAATTTCATGGAAATGCTTATCAGCAATTTTCAAGATATATGCACATAGAGATCTCTCTCTATATCTTTCCAACCATCTCATGGATATTCACCAGATGAATCCTAAACCTTCCAAGTGATTATTTCAACCTTCTTCTGGCAAGTATATGGTACTGATACAAGGATTCCATTTTTTACACTTGCGGGAATTTCATATGCTAAAAATATTGCATCATGGAGGATGAAGGGTATGAGAATTAATTGTGTTCCTTTGCCCTTCACTACGTTATGCGATCTTTTCAACTGTTTACAACTTTGTTGGACACAAAGGCTTTCTAGATATTTTGGATCTTATTCTACAATAAACGTCACTTACTCAGTTACATTCACTAAGGATTATAAATCGTTTGTGATTTTCATTACATATATCATAATAAAATAAAACAACAACCAGCTGAATTATATCCATCTTCTTCTTCTTCTTCTTCTTTGTTTTGTATGTGTGTGTGTGTGTGTAGATTTTATTAATTCTTGATCTATTGAGACTTGGGTAAGTATAGTGTTAACCGTTGTGCAAGTGTCGGACCCCTCAAATCCCAAATCTTAGAATACATGGATATGCGTCCAAGAGTTGGATACGTGTACATGGAGGCATACTATGCATTTAAATATATTATATGTTTTATTATACGGTATATTATAAGAATATACTCGATTATTACTTAAAAGGAAGGTGGTGAAGGAAAAGGGTTTCTATCTATAGGAAGCTCGTCTCTATTTTTAAATTTGAGTTTTCTCTTCATGCCATGTGAAGGATAGGGGTGTCCAATATGAGTTGTGTGTCGGACACATATCCTGTACCTATATCCTTGTCGTGTCGACATGGGTATGTGAAGGAAAATGGGAGAGTCCATGTAAGAGTGGTCATGAGGATTTCACAAATTTTGATGCTCTCTCTCTCTCTCTCTCTGTGCAGGGTATGCATTGCTGTTAGGCACTTCTGTGCTGCTTCAGGTGTGTCTACCCATTGGCATTAAACAATGGGGCTCGTGCTACATTGCGCTGGTGGTCTGTTAGATTCTTGTATGTACTCTCATCTAAATCCGACTGCTTTGAACCATGACCAAAGAGAAGATACGACTGTAATACCTGATGTTATGTGCTTATATGCAATGAATGACATTGTTATGGTACCATCCTCTCAAATTTTTCTTTTAGTGGAAACAAAAGTTTGGGGATTTAATTTTTGGATCTATGTAATTTCCCTTAACTAGAGGAGTGTAATTTATCCTATTCAGATTTTGTGGTGTTGTCCTTCCCAGGAAAAAAACTTCCTTACTCCTATTGCACGGTGCAACGGGTGTATCTGGCCCGTCCATGCGCGTGTATTACACGCATGGTAATGAATGGTTGGATGTGCCCATTGCACAGTGGCACAAGAAAGTTTTTTGCTTCGTTTGGTTGGAGGGATGAAAAAATGGATGGAAGAAATAGGGGGATGGATGGATGAGGAGAGGGAACGGAAGGTGTCTACTCCATTTTTTGTTTTGTTGAATGGAATGGATAGTAGAAAGGATGGATGCGGTATTACATTTTTTTGTTTGGTTGGAAGGGAAAGAGATTTTTTATATTTTTTTACCAATATATCCTAATTGTATAAAATAATAAAAAGTAGATAGTTATTCATATTGTAGGTAGTTATTCATTTTCTCTAAGGTTAAAATTGGAAATTGCATATTGTAGGTAATTATTCATTTTCTCTCTCCTCCCTTCCCCCAAAATTGGGCGGATAGAAAAACATGAAGAAAGGAGGATGCTTCATCTCTCCTTGCTTCTTCCCTCTCTTCCCTTCCCCCAACCAAACACGAATAGCCTCATCCATCCATCCCTCCTCAATCCTTCCCTCCAACCAAACATAGCATTAGACTAGTCTAGGGTAGGTTTGAAGATACTAATTTTCCGAGAATATATTGTATCTTCTTATTCAATGAAAGTTTTTATGTAAGTGTGTGTATGGAGTAACTTGGCCCAAGAAGTGAAGTGATAATGGATGCAGTTAAAAGGTTTTTGGAGAAAATGGGTTAGACTTAGTTGATGTTTGATAACTAATTCAGAGTGGGCCCATTTAGCAACTACAATTGTTTTGTGCTTTTACTTTGACTCAAAGCAGAAACATTTATTTCTGATTTAGAGTGTGTTCAACACTATTTTAAAGCTTCTTTGGTAATATAAATTTGTTATAAGATTTTTAGAAGAAAAAAGATAAAAACATGTTTAGAAATTTGAATGACTAATTAAAAATGTTATTTTAAAAATTGTTATTATTATTTTGAACAATTCTTTGCTATAGTGCAGAAGTAAGCAAAATTATTTTGATGCTTCTCATTTCGGCCTCAATTTTGAAAGGTTTCGATACTATTCAAATGATAACAAACATATTTTGTGATTTTGTTTCGTTACAGTATACTAGTAAAAGCAAAAAAGCACGAAGTAAAAGTATTAGCCAAACGGTCCCCAAGTATGTTTAATAACGAATTTAAATATTTTTTTAGAATGGTAAAATTAAAGTAAAATTTCAAGTAATAAAGACTTCACTTAACCAATCTTGAATGTTGAAAATTTAAAAAGATATAAAAAATAATTTTAATATTTTAATTACCATTTTAAAACATTTATATTTAAAATTCAGCTCTTTATTTTTTAAAAAATTTCCAAGCCTACTCCACAAGACTGAACCAACCTATTAAAACAGGTCAACTCTATTTATTAGGTTCATTACGTTGATGAAAAGGATGGAAACCATGAGATGAGTCCACAAAAATGGCTGATGGTCTCCCACTAGAAATGACCTACCCTATTAAAAGGTGGGTGGTTCCCACCTAGGACAATTTAGGTACTACTAGTAGTCTCTCACCAACCACTAATTTGTTTGTTTGTTTGTTTTTGGTTCATATTGCCATCTTATATCATCAGCAGATTGTTTTTGGTGCACCAGGGCAAGTTATGGGAGGGTTTTGGTGGATGGATGAGGTGGATTTTGGTTCAATGCTGGTGGTGTTGCACTGTTGGCTTAGTGGAATGCAATTTTTTTTTTTTTTTTTAAGTATTTGGTGGTGGTGATTACCAAAAATAAGAGGGGTGATTCAACTTAGATTTAAAAATTGATTAGATGTAAAATGAAATTTTTATTTTTATTTTTCTTTATTGATGGTCTAGGGGTGTAACTTGGGTCTGCCCAACCCAAACTTGACCTCAACCCTATTTCGAGTTATGTTGGTCCAGACCGAGGCAACCAAATTCGAGTTTCAACCCATGAAGCCCAACCCGAAAATTTCCAGATTCATTGGTTATCGAGGTCAATTTTTTTTTTTCTTTTTTTTTTTTAAAGCAGCAATGGATTAGGCCTACATTTTTTTCCTTTTTCCTATTTGAATTTAATTTCAAGAAAATTTGTAAGTTGGGCAGGTTAGCCCAGCCTAACCAAAAAAATTTCTTGAAATTAAATTCAAACGCAGTTAAATTTTCTTGAAATTAAATTCAAATAGGAAAAAGATAAAAAAATGTAAGCCTACTCAATTGTTGCTTAGGGAAAAAAAACAGAAGAAGGGTTGACCTGAACAACCCAGGCGACTAAAAAGTATTCGGGTTGGATTTTATGAATTTAAATTATAATTTGGATTGCCTCATATTGGCCCGACCTAACCCGACATTGGGTTCAGGTTGGTCTGGTTTGGGCAGGCCCAAGTTATACCCCTTAAATATTAGTTGATGATAAAATATTGTATGTGTCATTGATAAATGCTCAAACAATTTACTGACTTGGTAAAGAAGAGTTATCTCCTTGTTTTCTCCCCATTGGAGATGTTGTCTGCTGTATTTGTTCCCGTTACGCTAAAAGCAATCAAATGCTGCTTTGGGCTATCAAGGGATGGACTATTCTCATGCCCATACATAAGCTATATACATATACATATACATATAATAGTGGTGTACGGAATAGAGAAAGATAGGACAGTACATGGAACGGAGAGAGAGGTTTGGAGAATATGAATGGTATAAGATTAAATAAGAGTTGATGTTTCCGATCAATCCTAACCCAAATCCACCATCCAAGAAGGAATACAAGACAAACTCCGGACTTTGTTTTTTTGCATTCAAATGATTATCATAAGAGTAAATTTAACGAAACTCACGATACTATCACTTTTTTTTTTTTTTTTTTATTATCAAATACTCACAATCTAATTCAGAAAATCTTCAACACTGCAAAATTGTTCACATTACACCATATCTGTGATAAAAGGACGAAACTACCTTTCTAATATACCAAATCAATTAAAAAAGTCAAAATAGGCATTTTGCCAATTATTAAAATACTCTTAGTGACATTTAAGTCATCAAAGCACAAAACGATTGCCTTTTGAGTCGTCTCTGCTTATGGGGAGGTCCTTCATCAATCAACGGGCCTTTGTTTAAAGAACCTCCAGTGAACCACCACCACCACCACCCAATAAAAAAAAAAAAAAAAAAACAGAAATGCTAAACTTCACATCTCAAACTTTATATATAATTTTAAATTTGATGGCTTTTTATTTTATTATTATTATTATTATTTTATTTTTTTGTGTGATTTTAAGTTTACGATTATTGGAGGTACTTTTAAATTCATGATATCAAATACTTTTAGATTTGTCTCGTAGTACAAAAAGAAAATAACACAATTACACTTTTAGACCCTGTATAAAGCACCTTTGAAAATTTTTGTGGAGTGTCTATTTTTTAAGTAAAATTTTATGATTTTTGTTTTATTAATATATCTAATTTTAAGAAAGGAAATGAAGTGTAGAAGTGATATCAATTAAAAAAAGAAAATAATAATAATAAATAAATAAATAAGAGAAGGGTTTGCTTTAGTTGAATGCATAAAATGGAGAAGTATATAACTATATATAAGAATTTTGCACCGAAGCAATGATCCCACCTCAATACATCAAAGGAAGGTGACAAATTTTCGTTTAGTGCACAGTTCCAACTCAGGATATACAGGTTCCACTTTAATGCAAATGGTATGAGAGAGATGGCCTTCTTTTGTGTTATGTTTAGTTGGAGGGAATGATTGGAATTAATAAGAGGAGGGAGTGTGAAATTGATGATTTTTTTCGTGTTTGGTTGAAAAAAAATGGAAGAGAGGGAGGAAACAAGATGGGAAAAAACATTTCTCATTTTTTTTTTTATGTTTTTTTATCCCCCGACTCCGTTTGGTTGGAGGATGGAATAGATATGGGAGGGATGGATGAAGAATCCATAGGGAAGAGAATGTGTTTCCTTCATTTTTTGTTTGGTTGAATGTAATGGATAGTAAAAATGATGAATTTGTTTTTTTTTTTTGGAAAGGAAGGGAAATAAAGGTTTATATTTTTTTAACCAATATAAAATAATAAAAGATAGATATTCATTTGAATTTTTTTGAAAAAGTAAAATTGTAAATTGTATATTTGTAGGTAGTTATTTTTCTCTCTCTCTCATCCCTTCCCCCAAAGAAATGAGGGATGCTTCATCCCTTCTTACTTCCCCCTCTTTTCTCTTGCCTCCAACCAAACACAAAAGTTTCATCCATCACTCGTCTCATCCAACCCTCCGCAATTCTTCCCTCCAACCAAACATAGTTAAGTTTGGAAGAAGAGATGAGAGATAAAATAGATAACTACCATCCCTCCAACCAAGCGCAAAAGTTTCATTTATCACTCCTCAATCATTCCCTTCAACCAAACATAGTTTTTAATTTAGAAGAAGAGATGAGAGAGAAAAGAAATACTAGTAACTACCAACAAATATATATTTTTTGATTTTAACTTTTTTGAAAAGTTAAAAATAAAATAAATATCTTCCTTTTATAATTTTATATAATGAGGAAATATTGGTAAAAAATACAAAAATTATCTTTCCTTTCCTTTCTACCAAATAATAGATAATAAAAAAGATATATCACCCCATATCCATTCTTTCTACCATCCATCCTATTTAACCAGACAAAAAATGAAAAAAAAATACATTTCCTTTCATATGAATGCCTCATCTCCCCCTCCCCCTCTCATCTATCCATCTAACCAAACAAAACATTAAGATGCAAATGACCATAAACAAAAATGTTATGGTGGCATAGTGATAGATGTACAAATATACAATAATGATAATAATAATAAAATGCTCCATATCCTGTCACACAATATCATAACAATTTATATTAAAAATGAACAATTAAGTCAATCTACCAGAGTAAAATATGTGTGGCTGAGGAATTATCGACCAAAAATATAGTTAAGAGAATTAATCATGTGTGACAAAAGATATTACAAAAATGATAACTAATTGGACATGCGCTTATCCATTGACTCAAAAACTTTAGTTATTAGGTAGTATTGCAAATCCAATAATTTATATCCATTTTACTTTATATTTATTCAGATCTAATGTGGAATACCTCTCATATTCTCTCCCAACTGAAATTGCAACGCTCTAGTTGCGGTCGGTGACCCTGCCTACCTCGGTGTCAGGTGTTTGACATGACTAGGATCAACTGTAATGGATGAACGCTTATATGTTGATTAAAAAACTTAAGTTATTGGACAGTGCTGCACTAAGTCACACAATTCTTCTTAACAGGTGTCATTCTCACACTCCGTGCACACTCTCTTTCTATGCTCCATGCACACTCTTTTTTTTTTTTTTTTATCACTATTTCTAACTTAATTTTACTACTTTAACGCTTGTATACTTGAATTCGCTATCACGCCCACCCTAGCTCCAACTTTATATTACTTTAGTTATGTGGCTTTATATTCACTCATTTATAAATTATACTCATTTTACTTCTGACCCCTGTACGATTTGGGAAACGTCCAACACTAGTTCACTTAAAACATGATATTGAATTGAGTTTTAATATATTTTCTCCACTTTTTTTTTTTCTTTTTTTTTTTTTTTTTTTTTTTTTTTTTCTAAGAATTGAGCTCTAATGGAGTGAAGTAGTCCAAATAGAGAATTGTTTTGGAACAAGTTGATTGAACAAATTGATTCAATTTGCAACAGTAGTACAGTATTTCGGAAATACCCTTTGAGCAGGAACAAACTAGGTTTTTAACTGCTAATAAGTGGGACCCAACTCAACTCAACTAATAATCAGTCATTGAATTAACACCATGAATATGATTGTAAAATTGTACTAGTAATCAAGTTGGACGGCAGAGAATCTCTAAATATATAGAAAACAGTCGGGCCAGTCCATTGAAGGACCACTAGTGGTCCATCTTATGTTGTTCTCTGATCAAACCGAGGACCAAATTTCACAAATAGAGAGAGAAAATATATACTATATATATATATTTCTACTATATAAAAAGATAGAGTAACAGACACAACTTCTTCCCTTTCCTTCACTTACGACTGCAAAATCTCGAGGAGGATATAGAGAGACAGAGAGACAGAGTTTTAGAGAGAGAAATACGAGTTTTAGAGATGGCAGCGGACGCACCGTGCTGTGGGACTATGTTCGCGCTGTATGTGCTGATAATCATAGGACTTGTGATCTTCGCTGGTCTCATGGCTGGTCTCACTCTTGGCCTCATGTCTCTCGGCCTCGTCGACCTCGAAGTCCTCATAAAGTCAGGCCGTCCCCAAGATCGCATCCACGCTTGTACTCTCTCTCTCTATATATGTACTTATATGCATATATATAATAAATCTACACACTACAATACTATTGCTCTCAAATTTCTGATAATTATACAAGAATTATGCAATTTTGTTTCTGGGCAAATGGGGATTATGCTGTTTTCAATTTGGGTTTTGTATTATTTTTCATTAGATGCTAATTTTGGTTGAGAATTTCAAATATTGTTGGTCGGTGATCAATTCAAGAGCTAGCAATAGCCCATTGAAGTAGCTATATGATGTATTAGGAAATTTCGCAAACTTTTTGTGGACCATAATCTCCTTATTTTCACTCTCTGAGTTCGGAATCAATTCCGGCTCACACGGTTGTTGTATGAATTGGGTAATTAATATTCATGGGTTGGAAGTTGAATTCAACCAGACTAAGTGGGAAGAGAAATGTGTGTTTGTGCGTGTGGTATTGTCTCAGTAGTTTTAATTGGCAAAGAGGCCCTTAATTGTGTTTAAAATTATCTATTTTTTGGCAGCAAAAATATTTCCGGTGGTAAAGAATCAACATCTTTTGCTATGCACGCTCTTGATTGGCAACGCTTTAGCAATGGAGGTGTGTGGAAATGCATTTAAATGATTGATGATTGTTGTTGTTTATGTTACTCTTATTTAATTATTTCTGATTTTTTTTTTTTACTCTCTTTTCTTCGTGCCTGTAGTCTCTTCCCATATTCTTGGACAAGCTTGTGACTCCATGGGCAGCGGTCTTGATATCAGTGACTCTTATCCTAATGTTTGGAGAGGTTGTTTATCATCAAATAAACTGAGTATGTTTGTTTTAGGTGGTGTGCCAGGTTGTTCTCTGATTTATTTTTAATTGCAGATATTGCCTCAAGCAATCTGTACTCGCTATGGCTTGACTGTTGGAGCTACAATGGCACCCCTTGTCCGTGTTCTTCTTTGGGTATTCTTTCCCATCGCTTATCCGATTAGCAAGGTATAATTGATTTGCATAATTAGGCACATAATTTTGAATGTCTTATAAATTTATTTTGTTTGCAAGATGGTTGTTTTCTCATAAGTGGCTATTTGCCTTTTCCGGTTGCTGAGATATAAGAAGAGGGAAATTTTTTATTTTTCATGCTTGGGACCTCTGAAACACAAAATATTCTCTTAGTTGACCTTAATTCGACTATATTTTTGGGTGGAAATTTTCTTTTTTGATTATTAGAACAGCATGATACATATAATTCAATTTTGTTTGCCTTTTCCCCCTCAATTTTTTAGGAGCTAAGTGGACGGATATAGGAAAGTAGTTTCTTTACCATCTTATTTTAATTTAGTTTATATGTTCTTTTCTTTAAACATTTTATGTTATGGCTAGGTTCTGGATTGGATGTTGGGTAAGGGGCATGCTATTCTTCTGCGTAGAGCAGAGCTCAAGACATTTGTGAATTTTCATGGCAATGAGGTACTTTTTTCAACTTAAAATTCCAAGATATTGTTTATCTTGTATTAATTTTGAGTTTACTTTTGCCTCATTCTTATGCTAAAGCTATCTCATGCTGGTTTTTTTTTTTTTTAAATGCTCAACCATTCCTCTCTCCTCTAGCTAAATATTATGGTACATATGTTTTGTTTAATAGGCTGGGAAAGGTGGAGACTTAACACATGACGAGACAACTATCATTGCAGGGGCACTTGAATTGACTGAAAAGACTGCAAAAGATGCCATGACACTTATATCGAGTGCATTTTCCCTTGATCTGGATGGAACTCTTACATTGTGGGTTTATGGTTTGTTATTCAATCCGTGTATTATGTTTGGCGAATTCTTTTTATGTTGTAACTTTAACCCCTCTCTCTCGCCCTTTCCTCTCTCCTTACATTCAGGGAGACTTTGAATGCGATAATGACAATGGGTCATAGTAGAGTTCCTGTTTATGCTGGAAATCCAACAAACATTATTGGACTCATCCTGGTAATTTCTTTTCTTTTACCAAAAATCATAATTTCTGCGTAATTAATAGCAGGGCACTTCCAACCATACATACCAAAAGAAAAAAAACAATAACAAAATATCAAGAACCCTTGACATATATTTTTCATATGCTCTGATTTATAGTGTGTAATTGTAACCATTTGTCTTAGATGAGGTGCAAGATTTTTCATCAAAGATTTTCTTTCTTGTTGTTGCTTGTTATATTTTTTTTAGATATATTTACTTGATTTAGGGGCCATTACTCGGTGCTAGCGTGCAATATGTTAGAGTAAGGTTGACAACCTTGAAAATGCTTGTTCAAGTCTGAGCCTTGAGGCAGCCACTCCATGCAAGTAAAAGCTGGGGTTAACTCCTATTTTTACGGGGTTTGGACCTTGGCAAGCCCCCTGACAGCCATGGGATGCTATTAGCGTGCACTGGGGGTGTCCAGTGGCATTTTCGTAAATATGGCGAAAAAGTGAAGCTTGGAGTTTTGGCTCGGGATCTTTATGGGAGATACCTTGAGTGCATAGAAGATGGTTGGCGCAGACGGCACTCGATTTAGATGTCGGGAAGGGTCTAAAAGGCCATTATGACTTCTCAAGCAGAGGTGATATCTACTCCTGTCAGACTGTTGATTTTCCTTAGAACTATACTAGAGAGGGATTTGTTGAGCACATCAGTTGGGCTATGGCATGGTTTGCTTAGAGGGCTTAGCCAACGTGCATGAGCACGTGTTGCACCACTCCTAGACGGTTGCACAAGAGGGGAGCATCCAAACTACCGAAATGCAAACAAGTGAGCAGCGGCGCTGCTCGAGCGTCCAGGCGGGCGCGTGGGCAGGAGTCCAGCCCGGTGTGCGCGCGGGCGTGCAGCCGCGTGCACACGGGCGTTCAGGCATGGCGCGTGCAGATGAGCACTAGTGTGCGCGCCGGCGTGCAGCAGCGTGCTTATGAGTGTGCACCCGGGCATGCACTCGGATGTGCACATGGGCGTGCATGGCTTGGCACGCCGTGCACTCTGAGACATTTATATGTGGGTGCAGATTAGTCGGCTTGGCACGGGCTAGGTTCACAAGTTTGGCTCAGATGTTGCTTAAAGTATGAACCACACAAGTCATGGCTTATGGTTACAGAAGATGGCTAAGTGGGCTCAGTTGGTTGGGGGCAGTTACTAGCACTTCCCACTCATGTGCATATATTATGGGGAGTGGGGGTGTGCTGAGTAACTTCCCATGCATGTGGCATAGATCTGAGGGGACAACACACAGGTGGTTAGAGTCGGTTTTCTTCCACTATGTTGATATATAGAATGTGGCAGATAATGTGCAACTTCTTGTGGACAGGTGGCATGAACAGAGCGTGCCAACAAGCTAGCAGTTGGGCTTGTCACCTGCATATGTAGTGCTGGCACACTTAGAGGGTGCCAGCACGACCCTAGGTGGATGGGGGTGTCATCCACCACTTTAGTGGCCAGTTGTGGGCGGTTTTGAGAGTTTGCCTATATATTGTTAATGTAGGTTCTGTAGAGAGAAGAGATTGAGAGTGAGACACAGAGTTGTGTTGTGAGAGACTCTTGTATGCTTCTGCAGGTTAAGGTCTTTCCTTGTACTGTTTTGTGAATAATAGTAAAAGGTTGGAAGCCTTGTGCTTCTGTAAATTCGTGGGTGTTATTGTCCTTACATTCTTACAACTATACTTGTGTGTGAAAGTGTTTTACTTGTTGTGTGTTTTAGGCAGCAAGTGTGAGTTGGTTGAGCTAAGTTAGAAATTCAGAGAAAAGTAGTTCATATTTCTGGCTTAGTGCCATCACAGGCCATTAGATTCGTGTTCAGAATTTACCCCTGTAACACCTATCCAGTCTAGCCTTCACTGCACTGGAAAATGTCTGGACAAACATTGGTGTGGCCTTTGATATATACATGATATGTACTCCATGCATAAACAATGGGAGTATGATCTTATATTCGTCAGGACCTTAGATACAGATGTCAAAATAGATTTACGTTTACCTTGGTAAAAGAAACTTATAACAAAAGAAAATAACTTAAAGGATAATGGAAAGAGGAAAGAAGGTTAGCTGGAAAAAGAAGGAAGAGAGAGAGAGAGAGAGAGAGAGAATGCATTTGGATGGACTTGGTTTAACTTGTTAAGGAATTTTTATGAAAAGTGAAATAGAAAAGGCAGATGTGGGCCACCTTTTTCCTCCTTGTTTTGATTGAATATGCAAACGCTTGTCTATATCTTTAGGGTTTGTGATCTAGGAAGCACAGACATGCCTAAAAAGTCAAAAAATCCGTATCAGACCCGCCAACATGCGTGTTTGGAATATATATATTCTGGACACGCTCTGACACAACATGGACACATTTCTGACACGCTTATCACATTGTTAAGGAGTTTCAGTTTTGAAAAGAAAGATGTGTTAAAATATAAATATGATCACTTCTTTGGAAACTTTTAATAATATGGTGGTCATGACATAAGATATTTAAATTTTTGGGTTCTAAAAGAATTATTATTGTTGTTGTGGAATAGATTCAATTGTGTAGTTTTTAAACGATAAACTAATTATTTTTATAACTCATTAATTGTTTTGATTCGTTAATTATTTCATTGATAGGTTGATGAAAAGTAATATTACTCTTAAATATAGGATCATATGCATAAAAAGATATATTTTTTAGTGATTGTGTCTGTATCTAAGTTTTTATGATTTGTGGTGTCTCCATATCAGTGTTGTGTCGAATCCTTGTCTTGTATTTGTATCAATGTTTCTTAGTCTCTGATAGTTTCTTTTTTTAATCAAGAGGACCTTCATTGTTGCTTTGTCTGAGTCACTCTAATACTTGATCATTATCACTCAACTTCTGGATAGGTACTTCCAAAACTAACATTTCCAGGTATGATGAGTGGTAGCTTTACAGTGGGTTTGAAAGATTTAGACAACCCATTTTTGCCCTCCCCTTTCAACCTACCAACCTTCCAAAACCTGAGAAGGAACGGCGCTTCCATCTCCCGAGACAATTTCCCCGGTAGGGCTCGCCTACGATAAAAAAACTGAAAAACAGACAATCAGACCATCCGATTGGATATCGGACTTCACTATTACACTTACGACATCACATAAAGACACAAAACACTTCCTAACTACATCACACACTTCCCGGCATCTGATCACAAATTCCCCAAAAAGGGCAAAATTGACATTTTACACTACAGCCCTATGATCCGATTGTCAGAACGGAAAACGAACTTCACCATCGAGTCCAGAGCACCCAAAAACCCCAGGATACACCTCTCCTCGAGGTCTCCACCCTTCTCCATCACTCACTTTGATCAAAACCCTTGGCAAGGCCCGAACAGTCAACACCAAGTTTGACATTTCATACCGATGATCAAACTCATCCACAAACCTCACCATTGTGCTTAGAAGGTCCAAAAACCTAGAAAAACACTGTAATATTGCCTACCTTCCAGCTCGACCCCACATTTGACCAAGTCTCTACGGCAGGGACCAAACGGTCAATTCCAAGGTTTGAATTTTTCTTCGAAGAGTCAAATGGACAAACGGACATCACCAATGGATTCAGAGGGTCCAAAAACCCTAGAAACCATTATAATATTGGCTATGTTCCGGTCCAGGTCCACTTTGACCTAATTTACATTCCCAGGGGCAAAACAGGTAAAACTGCACTGCGCAGGAGTTTCCAGCAATTGCGAAAGGATAACGTATGCCACATCAGCTGTATGAGGTTATCATGAAGTCAAAAATCCCTGAAAATGGCACTATTTTGTAAAATCTGGGAAATGAGGGGCAAAGTCGTCATTTGCTTGGAGAAAGGAAGAGAAAAATAAGAGAGAGAGAGAGAGAGAGGCATAGTGCCACATGAATTCACACGACACTTCCTCTTTTTGACAAAATTAAAGGAGGGCCATACATGTGAGGCCCCTTTTGTCCTCCTTTACTCTCATCCCTTGGATCAAAAGTACTTTTTGGTAAATTGCAATCTAGTTCATGAAAATTGCATTTTGGTCCTCCGAATATTGCATTTTGGTCCCCCTTGGCCCTACAAATAGGGCCCAACTCTCCACATTTTAGAGGTCCCCTTTTCTAAAAAAAATGCCAATTTCTAGAAATGCTCTCTCTCTCTCTAGAAATACCGTCTTTCCATATATATATATATACACACACAAACACCAAGAACACACACTTTCTCTAATCACTCACATACACCTCTCTTCACCTCCTCTCTCTCTACACTTTGAGAGAGAAACTCACCGGTCATCAAAAGCTTGAAGAACGGAGCAAGAACTTCAAACAAAGTGGGGTAACGATCTTCTTTACCTCTCTTTTTCATCTTGTTTAGCTTACTTTTTCAAGCTTTAGTTCATTTTTGCTCTCTTTATTTGGATATTTGTGTATCTTTACAAGCTTTGAGTTCATTATTTTACTTTCGATGTAATACACACACACACACTTTCATACGCGTGTTCTACGGCAACGGGATGATATTTTTGGCTTACCGTTGTCGTTGCCAGCCTTACACACACAAAAGATGATTCTCGTAAGGTCGTTACGGCCTCTCGAAAGCTAACCAAATGATTATCTCTTCGTGGGATTTTTACATTTTATATTTGCTCATCTTTACATTTTTACGTGCTTTATGTCTTTAAATTAACTCATTGATGTAAAATGAGCATACACGAGCACACTACGGATCATCACTTTTTGGCCTCACTTTTCATATTCGTGTCCATTATTGCTCTCTTTATCATTACATTGCTCGTCTTTACATTTTTACGTGCTTTATGTCTTTAAATTTACTCATTGATGTAAAATGAGCATACACGAGCACACTACGGATCATCACTTTTTGGCCTCACTTTTCATATTCGTGTCCATTATTGCTCTCTTTATCATTACATTGCTCGTCTTTACATTTTTATGTGCTTTATGTCTTTAAATTTACTTATTGATGTAAAATCAGCATACACGAGCACACGCGTGTTCTACGACCACGGGATGACATTCTTGGCTTTCTGTCGTCGTAGTTGATTTCACAAACACAAAAGGTGGTTCTCGTGAGGTCATCACGGCCTCTCGGAAGTTAACCAAATAGTTATCCCTTCACGAGATTTACCAGTAGCTTTCCATACTCGGAACCACTTCTCGAGGGCATTTTTACACTTTACACATGCATTAGCCATCAAACTGGACATTCTCTACACTTTTCTTTACAAAACAACCATCCCGGTCATTCCCAACCATTTTTGACATCTAAACCGGCTTAAATTGAAAATGGACATTTTATTTACAAAAGGTCATTTTTGTCGGTTCTCGACACCTTTTGATCCATTTTTAGCTAAAGTGGTTATTTTGGTCATTTACGACCTTTCAAAAACCCACTTTTAAGTAAGTGGTCATTTTTGCCTTTTTTGGCATCGAAAACCATTTTTGTGTCAAAGTGGTCATTTTGGTCACTTTTGATACCTCAAAAATCCACTTTTTGGTAAGTGGTCATTTTTTGCCTTTTTCGGCATCAAAAACTACTTTATTACCGAAACGGTCATTTTTTACCACTTTTGGTAAGGCATTTTGTCAAAACAAAGTGACCAATTTGGTCATTTTTGGATCATCAGAAACCACTTCAAGGCGAGGTGTGTTTTTTCAAGTCAACAAAACGATCTCTAAATCAAATGTCCATTTTCAAGTTCAAAGTTGCGCTAACCAACAAATGTCACATTCACACACATTCACTTTGCATTCTAATTTAACCATCCAATCGAAACCAACAATCAAATCAATTTCCAAAACAAGACATCACTTTTCCAAAAGCAAACACAAGCACAAACACATACACACGTGCACACATTCTGAGAGCGCATAAGTTCTTGACATCATCCCTTGTTCGGTGATACCCAAAATGAATGGATACTCTTTGTTTGTTTATGCGTCTAATGACAATACAATGTCTAGAAAAGCTTTGTCCACCAGCTTACAGGCCCAAGGTTTATGGTTTTTAAGTGGGACTGATGTGACCCCTCCATATTCCTGGAAGCTTACTGATTGTATGTCATTAGAACATTGATTGACAATTTGGAAACATCCCTTCAATGTATCTTCAAACAACCAATCCAAAAATCATGCGAAATCATTTCATCCAAAACATGAATGTTTCATACTGGCTTAGGATCATCGTTACTACCGATGCATCCCTTGACCGAACAATTTCTAGAATTGTTCTAACAAAAATAGGCGATTGCATTGTCTAGAGGGGAATGGATCTTTAAGCAAGATTGTAATGATCACGCCTATTCTTCCCGAGAACTTGCCTGGTTGTGCGCAAAAGGGATCGCAGTTAGTAATTTGGAAACATCCTCTGAATAAATGAACATTCATGTCAGTATCCAATGGCGCTCATCTTCAATCATCCCTCTAACATAGCACAACTTTAGGACATACACCTTAGACTGCCTTCAGTCCATTTGAATCACAAACTTGGGTGGAGACCCTATAATACTTAACCACGAGCACCATAACACTCGTTCTTCCCCCACACTCTTTTCATTTCAACTTCGGGTGGAGACCTTACAATACTAATTCAGGGATACTAAAAATATCCACGTCTATCTTGTATTCAACTCATCGCGGGTGGAAACCCTACAGTACTCATTCAGAGGCACCATGAGTCCTCAGTCTATCATCAATCATCCTTTTGGGTGGATACCCCTTACAATACTCCTCCAAGTAGACATTCCGATGCCTGCCTTCCTTATCCATGCAGAGGCAATCCCTTCGGGTGGAGACCCCTTACAATACTCATCCAAGTAAGCAGACCGATGCTTGCTTCCTTTCCTTGCGGGCGGAGGCCCTAAAACTCACCTTTTTTAGGTTCATTTTCCTTCTCAGCGTAGATGGAGATTCTTAATCTCATTTGGAGTTGACCTTGACTCGTCCCTTTCATTTCACCGATCTTGAACTATGTTTTGATTTGATTCCCATACCTTGGGATACGTAGGCAAGTTAGGGACACTCCCCGAGTTCAGTCATGTCCCTCGTCATAATTACCATTCCTCCACCGGGACCATCATCTATCATTTAATCTCCATCTCACCACATTTCACCTCCGTCACAACTTTCCATAAACAACTGAAAACCTACCTGCATGTTCCTCATCATTTGTCATTGCACAATCATATGAATGGAAATGGAACTTAGCAGAGTATAGGTAACCGTACTTGGTACGGGCGTCTTGGGGCAAGCGTAAAGAAACTCCCGAATCCAACCTTTGGTAAAGTAGACCGCGAGTCATTCAGGGCCTCAAATTCAATCCAAATTCTTTCAATCTCTGATGACCTAACACACCAAAACTCAATGTTAGGTGGCGACTCGTCAAAATATCTGAATTTGGCCCTATCATATCAATTCACCTCCAAATCACACCCGTCGCACATAAATGCCGGCAACGACGGCTGACCTCCAACCCGGGGGATAAGCTTGAGTGGGTTTTTACCTAAGGGAAAAATCATGGCGCAACAAAAGAAAACATTCCTCAGATGAGGTTGAGTGCTCATCTGAGGTCCGAAGTTTATGGAGTACATGTTGTACTATGGATACTAATAAAATACAATTATGTCATTTCTAGAGCCTCATTATTTTCAATGACCTCTACCAAGCCTTAATAAAGGAAAAGGTTTCATTAGCTAAAAGCTAGTTTTATGATGTTCGGTCAATTTTATGTTCTTCATTCCTAAAATGTTTTATCTCATATAGGGCTGTAACAGATAAACTTTATGACCCTTGATAATGTACCAACATACAATAGGACTTGTTTACTGTACTGTAATTTAGTATATCTTGTTGAGTTGAGTTGGGTTTTCATACTAATTTTAATAACTTGTACCTCTCAAAGCAGTAGATTGAAATCTCAACATGCTTGAACTTTTAGTTTACCTGTCTGATTTATTTTATTTTATCTTTCATATGCAATAGCATAGTTATTAAAACCTGGTTCTTCTCACAGTTTGGTTCTTGTTAAGCCATCTTCTTATATACGTCTCATGTTTTGTTTTTTGTTTTTATTTGATTTTATGTAATTCTCTTATTCATGGTTTCTGCTTAGACTTAATTTATCATCTTTAACTGCTTCAGGTTAAAAATCTCTTAACAGTTGACCCAGAAGGTGCAGTTCCTCTCAGAAAAATGCTAATAAGAAAAATTCCTCGGTAAGAATGAATGTTTCATATATCTTTTATTATGCGAGAAAATACATAATTGCTTTTGACTCAATAGGACTGAAAATAAATGATTTGTTGAGCTCTTCTACTAGTTAGGATAAGTGGATAAGGCTTCACTGAATTGGTTGAGTTGTGTCTTAAGATATTGAAACTCGATTATTGCCAAACTGTCCAAATAATGTATTAGTTTTACAACCTCCGCAAAGGATCTAATTATGAATCAAGTCAGCTTCAGACCTTTTGCTTGCAGCGCATCCCGAATAGCTCTAATATGCAAAATCAACATCCCTTGCCGCATTGTGAATTACTTAGTTGAAGAAGTAAACAATGACATATATCATTTTAATAAAGTTATTTGAAGGATTTGGCAGGTTAAGACCTGTCACTTATATCTGGTATTGGTTAGAACGGGGTGGTACTGGGTGGTCTTGCTTGGGATAAAAGTTGTAGAAATGGTAATGGGGTATGCTCAACAGGGTGTGCATCCTAATTCAAAATACCATGGCTCTGACTTGATCTTTACATAGATTATTGGCAATGATGGATTCTGGAGTAGTGTTTTCCAGGATTATGTGGTAGCATTGGATCTTACAGAATTGTTATGCTCTTCCCTAATAATTAAAGGTAGACCAGAACATGTATAGAATGAATGTAAACCATTTTTGACTGAGCTGATCACACCCAGGGAATCCCCATGTGTGCAATAGCCACTGGTATTTGTTCCATCATTGTACTTTAGTTACCGCATGCATGTTTTATAAATTATGTAATTTTGTACCAGCATCTATGGCTTAGACTTGAATTCTATGATTAATGCTTGATTGATGTATATCTCCAATGGACTGAATAATTTTTCAATATCGCAACATGCTTGCTTATTTATTTTATCCTATTTTATAATCAATGGGCTCACTTCATATCCTTGTTTCTTTTATCTCCTTCAACATTCTTCAGGGTTTCAGAGAATATGCCTCTCTATGACATTCTGAATGAATTTCAGAAGGGTCACAGCCACATTGCAGTTGTATATAAGGATCTGAACGAGACTAAAGAGACACTGAAGAAAATTGAAGAGGGTGAACATCTTGATTCCTTATATACATCACTTTAAACATTAAATACTAAATTTCTATGGTTATCAACTTATAGATCCTAAATTGCTATGATTATCAAATTATAATGGTAAAACTCTGAATTTTCAACTGTTCACTGAATATCCCTCAAATTATCATCTAATTTTGGAAAAGATTCAACCAGACCTGAATTTGTCAATAAGCATATTTGACTGAGCTTATTGTGTAGGATCCAGTTTATTCTTTTCAAATTATTAATTTTTTTCTTAAATTATTGCTAAAAGTCTTGCAAATTTTGTTTGTGACTAGTGATCACCAAGTTCCGCTGGTATTTTATAATTTCTGTATTTTCCAAATTCTGAACTTGTTAACATGGTCCTGGAAATGTTCATACTCCTCAAATCTTTAACTTTACATATTTATCTTTTTGTATGTATTTCTACTGCTGCTTCACAATATCTATTAATTATCATGATTGACTAGTTATAAGAAAATGAGTCTTCATGACCAATGCTGCAAGATGGGTTTAATATCCCTGGTTTCCTTTGCCTGACCTATTCTTATTTTTAGGACTTGTATCTTGTGATTTAGTATGTTTGTTTTACTATGTGGCTAATCAGAACATCCTGAGGCCAGCCCTAAATCAAAGTCACATGACGCTGACACAGCTGTGACTAAGAATGATGGAGATCTGCAGATGAAGAAAAGTCCTCCAGCGACTCCTGCTTTTAAGAAGCGGCACAAAGGTTGTTCATTTTGCATTTTGGATGTGGAGAATGCCCCTATTCCAGAGTTCCCACCCAATGAAGAGGTTGTTGGTGTAATTACAATGGAGGACGTAATCGAGGAGCTTCTTCAGGTATACTGAAAAATTGGATATTTCACATGCGGAAAATTTGTCCCAGTATACGTGGGGCACATACATGAGACTGAAATCCACCATCAGCTAGTGATTTATGCATCTTAACAGCTCATGATGGTGGCAATAGTAAATATGAATATGATGCAAACCAATCCTCTTTGTCATGGGGCTGGCTGCCTGGATCCAGTTTCTCAGATTCACGGTATTAAAATGTGCATGTGCTACATACTTGAGCCCAAATTTTTTAGGACAGTTCTTACACAAATTCTGGGGAGAAGTGACAATCTAGAACTGCTTTCGCAGAAGCACTCGTCTTCATTTTGAAGATTTGGAGTATCTTTTGTTATGTTAGCCGACTGGTTGGACAGTGTAAAAGGGAGCTGCTCCTCTGTTCAACTGCTTTTCTATCATCTCTACTACCATATTACATCTCTAATTCATCAATTTTCTCCCTTTATAAACCCCAAATAACATCATCATTTCTTTTATTTGATGAACGACAGTATTTGAATTTTTTTGATGAAAACTACAGTACCTCTCTCTCTCCTGGTCCTTTTGTCATGGGTCTGGTAGCCGAACTAAGCAGATAACTTGTGAATTGTAATAGACTTTTCTGAGAATTTCTTTTCCTGCTTGGTTTTAAGAATGCTACTTGAAAATGCTTTGGTTTATCTTTTATCGTTTTATGATGGTACCTGTTGATCTCAATTCTCTTCTATTTTCTTATGTCAGGAAGAGATATTGGATGAAACTGATGAATATGTAAACATTCACAACAGGTATGTGTGATTATTGATTTGGGAAGTGTTTCTTACCTTTCTTTTGTTTTCATTTCTTTCTTCTAGACCTCCTGTAACCAGATTGTATTTGAGTCTGCCAGCAGTGGAAGGATAAATCTTGTTTATTTCCTTGTGTGTCCATTCAAGATTGAGAACATAGGTTATTGCAAAGTCTGTTTGCTACTTTACGTATCATGGTACAGGAGGGTTTTACCTACACTACTAAAGAAGCAGGACATTGCCGTGGTTTCGGCAAAATGTGGACTAGCCCCTTGAACCTTGACTTGCCATGCGGCGAGGGATGGATCAAACCAATGACTGCCTATGAATAAAAAATATAAAAAAAAATCGTAATTGAAGTAAATTTAGTGCTTTTTTATTTATTTATTTATTTTTTATTTTTCTTTTCTATTTTTGGGAATGCAGGATAAAGGTTAACATGCATGCGTCCCAGGAAAAGGCTCCTGATGAAAACTCGCAACAGCATTCTTCTGGCCCGGAAACTCGAGGTTCCACCCCTACTTTATCAGATTCTGCCAGTACTTTGCAATAACATTCTCATCACAAGGCACTAGAGTTTCCGAAGGAGACTAGTTCGAGAGAGTGCTGATTGATACTCTTTGTTCCTTGTATGATTATTAGACTTAGGATTTACATAAAAGAACAGAAGCTGGGGGGTTCACTCTGGTAGGAAGAGTTATTTTAGTTGTTACAAAGAAAGCGACATACCCTGCTTGTAAAATAGGTAGGCTGGTCTTGCTGATGTAGCATAATTATATAGATTGTTGTAATCTCTTGTTTGATATTCTGATATTAGAAAAGATCCAGTTATGTTAAATATGGATTCTATGGATCTCATCAGACCATTTGTGACAACATTGCATTCAATGAGCATGGAGAGTTTGGGAACTGATTGTGATGATTGAGATGAAATTGTTCATGTTGCAAAATGTTCAAGACTCTTTAAGAGTTCGGCACCTTTCCTTGCCTTTGAATGGCAATTTTGTGTTCATATTATCCCTTGCATGTTTGGTAGGTAAAATAAAATTTTGATGGGCTTTTGGGATCCTCTACAGTACAACACACGTGTTATACTGCAGTGGACAGTCAAGATCATTATCACGTGTAGCAATCCCAGACGTGTGAATAATCATGACCGTCCTTGCTACTACAGCACGCGTGTTGTATTGCAATGGACGGTCAAGATCATTCCCACTGAAATTGGAATTTGAGAGACCTAGCTCAGTCACAACACAATGTTATACTGCAATGGACGGTCAAGATCATTCACACGTGTGGAACCGCAAATCACCTAAAGTTCGGTCACAGTAACGATGTTTTAGGTTAACCCCAAATCACCTATAGTTCATTTATCTTCAACATGCAAGTTTCGGTTAATTGAGCTACCTTTTGCATAAATATTACCTTACTCTCGACATCATTGCAATTCTTCATCTCTTTTCATGGTTATTGTAGCCCAGTCGGAGCCAAGAATATCAATTTAGGGGGCCGAATTATTACTATGTAATTGTAATTTAATTTTTTTTAAAATAATTGTAACACAACTTTTTACATAATATTAGTCTTCGTTTGTGTATATATATATATATATATTGAAAAAATATAATCCAAAAATGAGAAAAGTGCAACCTAAATTAATATAAAGAAATTCAAATTTTCTTTAGCAGTTGTTTCAAAATTTCAAAATTTTAATTTCATTTTTTTTTTTTTTTTGGAATACTTTGATTCCACTTTAGCAAAGACGTATCATTGTTGTCTTTGTGAAAGACTAAAAAATAATTATAATTCTAACTAAACAAATCTCACAAGAGTTATAGAAATTTTCATTTACATTTACAATTAAAAATATTAACATATATAATATCATTATGATTATAATTATTTTTCTTGTAAACATCATCTGAAAAAGATGTCAGAGAAGAAAAATATATTTTTTTCATTTCTATCAAATATGAGGGACTATAGTATAATTTTCTTCCTTATCTCTCTAGATTCATATAATGGATTATACATGTCTATATATGAATGAAATAACAATTTATTTCTTAAGGCTGCGAGATTTAGGTTTTCAAAAGTATGACTAAAATGTTGGGAGTTGGTCTTTTGAGTTTCCAAGGAAAACAAGTTAAATTTATTTTTATATAAAAAACTTTATCCAACTTTGGAGTTGAACCGCAAATACTCTCACCTCATATTTTGAAGGTCGAAAGTTCAAATCCCCAAATCACTCCTAAGAAATTTTCTTAGTAATTGCTCGGTACATGTGAGACAGGAGACTGCATGTGCGCGATACCTCACATTTTGGAGGTCAAAAGTTCAAATCTCCAAACCACTCCTAAATTTTTTTTTTTCGGTAATTACTCAATACAGGTGAAATAAGAGACTGCATGTGCGTGAGCAATGAGAGGATACTTGGAATATATAGAGGAGGTGGTATTAACAGTTGAAAAAGTTCCCACAATTCAAAGATGTTATGTTATCATGATAGATAGATATCATATGATAGGAAGTGAACTTAGTTAAGTGTAAAAAACTTTATCCAACTTTAGAGTAGAATCGCAAATACTATCGATCATGATGGATAGATATCATATGATAGGAAGTGAACTTATAATGTGTAAATAGCTTTATTCAACTTTGGAGTCGAAAGTTCAAATCCCCGAGTCATTCCTAAGAAATTTTCTCAATAATTGCTAAGTACATGTAGAACAAAGAACTGCACGTGCTCGATGCCTGCACATTTTGGAGGTCAATAGTTCAAATCACCGAATCACTCCTAATAAATTTTCTCAGTAATTGCTCGATACATTTAGGATGAACAGGGTACTACATTTGCGCGATTGTTGATTATGGAGTGCTATAAGAGGCCCAACGCCATAATGGGTTAAAAAAGAGTAAAGAACTTCATCATTTTATTCATTTTTTGGGATACTACATGTGCGCGATTGTGGATTATGGAGTGCTGTAAAAGGCCCAACACTATCATGGGTTAAAAAAGAGTAAAGAACTTTATCTTTTTATTCATTTTTTGGAGTGCTAATGATAAATATCATATATTATCAGTTTATCATTAGGGTCACTGGCCAGTAGTTTTATTTTTCTGTTGAATTAGTCATATCTTTAAAAAGAAAAAAAGTAGGGATGGGCAAGAAGTGGTAACTTGAATTGAATACCAAAATCAGTACAAATGAATATATGAGAATAACATAAAGATAATAAGTTGTATACAATTGAAATATTATGAAATTTATGTATACAAAAATGTTGCCCAAAAAACCAATGTCAAAGACACACATACACACACAAATCAGTATATCACTTCTTTTGCAAAGAAATTTTGGAGAGTGTTCAATGTGACAGATTCCACAGCAATCTATTAAAAAGAAACTACAAACAAATTTATGGATGGCTGTATTATGCTTCTATTTACTCAAACATTGAATTTCAATAAATCATAACACGCAGCTATCCAAGTAAAAAGAGGAAACAACGAAAACTAAACAAAAATTGTTGATGCAAGATTCTGGTGCGACCAGGGTTGATAGCTTCTCCTGCAAGAAAAGGGAGATAGTGACCGGAAAGGGCACCGGTGTTGTACCGGCTGAGCCTAGTCCGACAAAAAGTTAGTACTAGATTGCAAGAAGGCAGAAGTTTTGCGGGATTAATTTTTCATACCTCTGTAGGTTGGATGACTGCTCCTTCTATAGGAGAACTTTTGGTAGGACCAATTCCTTTTCTTGCTCATCCGGCGACTTCTGCATCGTTCAGACTTCCTCTAGGTTCTGTATCGAAAAAAATTCTCACAAAAATAAAGAATAAAATAAAATAACCTAACAGAGCTAATGACATGTGAAATTAAACTGTGTAATATACATGTGACCTAAACAGAAGTGTTATTAGGAAAGTCTTAGAGTTCGGTTTTTCCTAGGCATGAGCACTACGAGTATTTCTCAGTCATGCATAGATGGAGCTAAACATTCATCAACCATATCTACAAGGTTAGGATTTCCCATGCTGCTGCCAACCATTCTTTACCGTTCAATTGTTTATTTATTGTAAGCAAAAATAGCACCACCAGCAAAATTATGTAAAACCAACTTAAACATTTAGGGCCCATTTACTAATAGGAAGTAATTCCTGTTATTGCTTTTCCCAAAAGCAAAATCATGATTTTGATTTCTTGGAGCTGAAACAGAAAATAAATCATATTTAGTAATGTAAAAAAAAAATCAAAAAGTTAAAAGCAACAAACATAAAGTGTGTTTAATAAAAATAGTGTTTTTGTTTTTATTTTTGAAATTAGAAACAATAGTTAAAACTTCTAAATTGACTTTTAAAATACTTGCATTCCATTTACTAGAAATTGAAATTTCACAAAATAAACCTTATAACAATGAGAAGTTGAAATTGCTATCGAAGTAGAAGTGTGTGGATCATTTGAACTCAAAACAATTGAAGAACCCCTTCATACCATACCAAGTATAGGCATGCATCGTGTCTTCATCCAATCTCAAAGCTAAAGACCATAATATTCCACTACTGGATAGCTTGTTTGAACCAGTCATTCAATACACAAAGGATACTCAAAAAATGATCTCAAGTACGCAAGCCACTAGGACCCTGCATTGTGGTAGACCTATCAATTGTCAAACTGGTGATGATATCCTGTTGTAGAAGATATGTAATTTACAACAGACAAAGACACATCACTTGAAGAGACTCGAAAGCAGTGGTCTACTGCATTTCTGCATATAAGAACACCAATTACATATCTTAATTGTCCAACATTGGATCCAAATAGGAGAGTGATTAGGTATAAATGGGTGGGTATGCAGTACTACCCAACAGCTTGACCTTTTGGATAAATAGGCAAACACCCACCCATTAGAGTTGGTATCAGAGCCAGACCCAATCCTTGATCCAGTGTCACGCCAAGCGTCCGGATGAGCCACCTGGGTAAGCAGGGTGCTCTGACCTTAACGAGGGCGTTGCGAGTTCGGGTAGGGGAAAATGTTACGAGGGGAGATTTGTCCCACATCAGATCTAGATGGGAGAGTGATTTGGTATAAATGGGTGGGTATGCAGCATTATCCAACAGCTTGGGCTTTTGGATAAATGGACTAGCGGCCACCCGTTACAATATGTATACATGCATGTAGTGAGAATTGTTTATTTACATGGGAATGTACTCATTGAGAATAATGGAAAGCCCTCTGTTTTTCTATTGTAGTAGAATCCCAATCTTGAAGAAGAAGATGTGGAGCTAGGTGGTACCTCTCTCATAATCGAGTAAATTTTACAAGAGCAAATACAAAAAATGAGTGAAACCTGGAGGCAATTCCAAATGAGTAGTGGAACAACTATCATCATAGACAAATCAGTTCTATTAATTTTATTTTGATGTTGTAATGTTACCACTTTTATTTGGATTCTGGTGGTCGCCCAAAAAGTTTGCAAAGAGATTAACTAAGAGTGTGAGCGTGCAATGTGGCCAAGTTTTAAATTAATAAATGCCACTACTACCTCTAACTAAAAATATAACTAGGGTCAGTAGGGATCGTCCCAAGGGATTGGTGGGTCGTGTTACTATGGAAACAAGATTAGGGTTAGTAGGTCGAGTGATCAAAATGTGGTTGGTTTGGTTGATTAAACTACAATTAAGACTAAACAAGCTCAATATAAAACAAGTAATTAAAGGATAGAGAAAACAAGAGAGAGAGAGGTCTTGGGACTTAGAGGTCACCACTAAGCATCACCTTTCTATATACTGAATTCATAATTAATGAGGGGGAAAAACATATGTTGCAACAATAGTAAGTGTGTGTGGTTGTTTCAACAAGCATGGATGACCAATTAAGTATATATTGTCTAAACAACACAATGAATAGCACAATATATCAAACTAAGCCATTAATCCTTCCTTTAAGCCCATAATCCAAGCACATCACATGAATAGAGAAATATACTACTTGCATTCATAAGTATGGAACATCAAACAACAAGCATGGATTGTCCTCCCATTTAACAACTATGGTAACTACACTACATCTAAGCTAATGATATGAAATTTAAGCTTGACAATCTCTAGATCTATAGCATCAACACACATAGACATGCATCAATAACACAAGAGCTAGAGAAAAACACATGAACATCTATTCTAGCTTACATAAACATATGGATAGAATGAAATGATCAATTGGAAGAATTAAACCACACAAATCATTGAATAAACAAGATCTATGTATATAAAAATGTCAAAACATGTATTACAACACAAATCCCCTCAAAAATACATAAATCAAGGTAAAGAAGGCATACTTAGGGCTAACTCTAGCCCCAAGAGGATGTCTAGCCACTCATTATTGGTGTCCTCCAACCCCAAGGGCTATCTCCATGGTAAAAATGCTCTTCTTCTTGAGGTACATGGAAGACTTCCCAAGAATATGTCTCTAGCCTCCTCTTCTCTTTTCTTCCTCTTTAAGAATGATATCAAATGTTGTATCTAAAAACATGTGTAAAAGTGGCTCATAATCCTTATATAGGTAGCTCAAATGTCACACCCAATGGTCTAGGCTCGTACACAAGGGCTCCTCCAATGATTGCACCATGAGATAACTTTTAATGAGCTGGAAATTGATTTAATTCGCACTTGAGAGGGTTCGATCGATTGAACCTATGATGAGATCGATCAAACTTGGTTGAGATCTATCAAACTTTGGCTGGATCAATCCTCCCATGGCGGCGCCTTTTTGGATGAAGACAAATCTGAGATATTTTTGAGATATTTTGGGAAAGAGACAAAAGTGGTAGGTGGGGTGGTACAACAGGATAAGATGGAATCTTTTCGATTGATCTGATAAATGTTGGATCGATCAAACATTGTGGGATCTTTGGATAAGGACAAAAGAGCTTGGATCCATCTTGGAGTGCAGAGATCGATCTATGTCAGATCGATCGAAGAAATTCTGTGATCGATCGAACTTTGCTGAACTTCCACCACTTGCTTCATTTTGCTTCCACTTTGATCCTTTCTTTCATTTATCTCAAGATTGCTTCAATTATGCTCTTATTTGGCTGAATTAGCTTATTTTAGGGATAAGTGCCTGAAAACGAAAAAAACATGAAATCAATCTAAAGTGGGAAAATAAGATAGAGAAAGGTCCTAGAATACCTAAGCTTAACGGGTTTAAATGCGCACTTTTCAGCGCTCATTAGATTCATATTCTATTTGAAAGACTTTATGTTACATGCACTTATTATGATGTTATTTAACTAGTGCATGTCTTATCTAATTTTTGCATTTGGGTTATATGTTTGGCGATTCAATTTCAATTTCCAAATGAGTTGCGTGATGAGGTACACAAATGTTGGTTTTGATTTTAGCTCCAAACCAAAGCCTAAATTCCATTGGTGTTCTTTTATTTAGATTCATATGTTATTGATGTTCTTATCAATTGGTGTTCTTATATGGAAAAATGTTGTAGACCACTGCTTTCGAGTCTCTTTAAGTGAATACATCTTTGTTTGTTGTAAATTACATATCTTCTAGAACAGGCTATCATCACCAGTTTGACAATTGTCAGGTATACCACAATGCAGGGGCCTTAATGGCTTGAAATAAATAGGTCATATTAACATATGTACTTGCATACCTTGGGATAACTTTTTGAGTATCCTTTGTGTACTGAATGACTGGTTGAAACAAGTTATTCAGTATTGAATTATGATGGTCTTTAGATTTAAGACCAGATCAAGACATGCGTGCCTATTGTTGACCCAAAGGTTTTGACCTAAGGGCAATTTAGTAATTTTGATGATGACAAACCATTAATGATGCCATTAATGTCTACATTAGTGTTGTATTAGATTATAACATCATTTTCAAAATAGCCTTCAATGAAGCAAAGATGAGCAAAGACACATTCCAAGCATTCCAATGCACATGAAGACATCAATGGTTAAGCAATGGACATGGAAATGACTTAAAGTTGCAAAGGATCAAAGCTAGAAGCATTTCAAGATGACTAGGACCTCAACGATCAAGATTGCACCCTAATGATGAAGAATTCAACTCAATGACCTCAAATCTTAACAATGCCAAAGCGTGAAGAATATAGTAGATAGGTTGGTGAGTGTTTAAAATTCAATGTCAAAGTAATTTTGAATCTTTCTTTGAAACTCTCACATCTACAGGATCATGCATATGTACTCAAACTTCATATTTGATCTATATTTGATTCTTATACAACCTAGAAATAGGTCTTGAACATCATTGATACACATGCAAAGACCTAAATCAATTCCAAGGCCAAAAACACCTTCAAAGGGTCTTATTTTAATGCTTAAAGACAACTAGCCGACTGGTTGAACTTAAATGAGGTTGTTGATACATCAGTGAGTTGAGAATTGAATGTAGCATTATTTCATATCAGTCGACTGGTTAGGGTACTTTAAATCAGCAACTGATTCATGGAAGATTTAAATTCAAATGGTTATATTTGCATTTAATACACCCTCAACTGCTCCCAACATTTATTTTCTGTCCATTCTCTCTATATATATGGTTGGGGCATTTATGAATGCTAAGACACAACTGTGAGAAACATTTATGAGATATTAGAGTTGTCATTTGAGCATTCACTACACTCTTTCATTCTCTCACATATCAATCAATAGACTTGAGCTTCAACTTGAGAATCTTTGTTAATCTAGTGTTGTGAGCATTGATTTAGTAGAAATTTACAAAAAGAAGAGAAAGGAGAGAATTGTGTAAAGGCTT